AACCCAGAGAAGTCAGTGACAGTACTACAATAACAATTTGTTATTTAATAGTTGCATCCATGTGTACTCCAAGTGCTATGTAAATTTATTCATAAGAGTAGCATTTTTATTTCTAAAGGATAACAATTGTTTCTATGTCATACGTGTCTGGAATGCAGAAAGCCACCAGTTTGAGGAAAATTGTGTCGCATCAGCTGAGATTGCAATAAAGAAGGGAAGCTCAGCCTGAAGTGGGAAAAGTGCACTGGGACAGGCAAAAAAAATATGAGGATTACTGTGTCCCCATTTCATCCCAGCAGCAAGTAATATAAGAAATAGACTTGGAAAATCTAAAAATTACCCAATACACCATTTTTCGAAAAGCCTCTGGGCTTCTGCACACTCTTTAATAATTGGGTCATTAAATAGCTGCTAACACATAAAGCTGTAGCATTAGCTCAGATTTTGTATTGTGAGCTGTGCATTACAAAATGGTTTAACAAGCACTTATGATATTTGGCTTCTGCTAGCTTAATTTAACTTTTCCAGGTTAATGTCATGCAAAGAGCATTACATGTCCTTCAGCTACTTTACCTGAACCTGGTTTGAAATTTATCCAAGAGTGTAATGAAATAATAAAGGGAGAGTGTTGAGAGAGAAGGAGACAGGGAGAGCTGCTTCCCCATTCTCTTCAGACACGTGTAAATCCAGGAAGACTTAATTAATTTCAGTCAGTGGAGAGAATAAAAAGAGGACATAAACGTGTTAATGTTCTTCTGTGTTTACTGAAATGAGGAAAGCAAGCAACGCTTGTTGACACAGCCTCTGAACTGCAGCCTCCTTGGTGGTCCCTTTGCACTTCTGTTTCTAAGGAAGGGATGCAGTTGAAAAAAGCATCCTGTGAACTCAGCCGGCGTCGGAAATTCTGCTCGTTATCAGAAAGAAATATTCAATAGCTGCTGAGGTATGGAATTGTTTCTCAAAGCCAAGGAGGCAATAATGGTGGCAATAAACTTTCAAAACCTCCCACTGCTTTTTTCAAACAATTTTGATCAGTGTTTGCACAGATATCAGACTTTCAGGGTTTGGAATTCTCCTCTGTAGCTTGATAACCAGGATGTCTTGTTGCTTAAAAAGATGCACAGCCTTCACCCTTTCCTGTGTCATTGCCTTTGCTCTATGGGTGCATTTAAATGCATGTTGTTCTTTCTGTGAACCGGCGTCTCTGCTCCCAACAGTAGTTACATTTTTAATATAAAAATGAAAGCTACCGAACTCTGAAAGTTTTACTTCTAAGTAGGCATGAATAGGTTTGCATAGATAGACTGCAACACCACTCAATTCATTATTCAGATAGTTATTTAAAGTCTACTGGGGTTAATATATATCATTATTGTGTTGCTCCTTCCCCTTCCGTCTGGGTTTTCTGGGTATAAGTTGACATCTATAATGGGAAATCTCAGGAGGTGGCAAATGACTAGCAAATATGAAGTAGATTGTTAAAAACTAGACAATCGATGCCCTGTTGGGTCATCATTTCAGAGATATTTCCTTTCTGAAACAGAATCTCCTGGGTGGACAAAAAAAGCAGCAGGAGCAGGAGGGACTTCCAACTTCCTGCTGGCTTCCCCATTGAATTCCCTTCTGGGCAAGGAGCTTCAGAACCCTTCTTTCCTTCCTTCCTTCCTTCCTTCCTTCCTTCCTTCCTTCCTTCCTTCCTTCCTTCCTTCCTTCCTTCCTTCCTTCCTTCCTTCCTTCCTTCCTTCCCTGTCTCCCTCTCCCCATTCCTTCCTTTTCTCCCCTGACTTTTAAGCATTTTCTCCTCCCTCCCTCCCTCCCTCCCTCCCTCCCTCCCTCCCTCCCTCCCTCCCTTCCTTCCTTCCTTCCTTCCTTCCTTCCCTAGAATGCCACCTTCTCCATTTACTTTGCTTTTGGGAAGCTTGCAGGGAGAAAGCCACTGGGGAAGTCAGCAGGAAGTTGCCACAAAGACCAGCAGGCAGGTAAATAGCTACTGCTGGGTGGGGGAAGGTGCGGAGGATGCAGTTCTGGAATGTTACATAGGGGTGCATGAGAGGTGCTGTATGGATCAGGTGCTTTGTGCATCAGGGAAGCTGTGGGGTGGGTAGTGTAGATCAGATGAGTGTCCTGGAGTATGTGAGATATGCTGTAAGGTTGGGTAGGACATGTGGGAGAATGGGAAGAGTCAAGAAAGGTATGTGGGGGTCATGGGATATATAAGTGTCATGCATGTCAAATAGAACATGCGGGGACATGAGTCAAGAAGAATGTATGGGCACATTATTAAAGTTTTTGTTACCCTCTTTCTTTATCAATTTATACATTCAGGTTTCTCCTAAGAGACACTGTTTTAATACAGTACATATTTTAAAAACCCAAATTTCCTAAACATAACATATTTTGGGATGTTATTTGCACCAATATATAAATATGTATGTAAATTTCTCCTTAATATATGTATTTCTTGATCAGAGAATTTACACTGCAGCCTGTTGAAAGGTATAAACATGAAAGATAGCTATATATTCATCTGCATATAGATTAAAAAAGTGTTCACATTAAAATATAAATCAAACAAAATTACTTCTGTTTGTGTATGAGATATTTGAGAGTTATTCCAGCAGTAGATATGGTAAAGGAAATCTGTAATGGATTTATTTTGCCTCAGATGGTATGATCTACCAAATGAAATGTCATGAGGTCATGGATGACAGCGGTAAGTGCAGCAAATTATTGATCATGACAGCTAGAATATACTTGGAAAATCTGCCAAAATTAATACTAATGTATATTTAGAAAAGTTACATAAAATATCCTATGTTTGAGGAAATTGATAGAAAACTAAGTGGAATAGAGAAAAGAGCATTCATAAAGATTAATATTAAGGTAAATGTACAGAGAAGTGGTGCCTTTATTTTAGCTGCATGCAAAAAGTATGTATCTAAAGAAATAGGAAGGCCAAATACACTCCATAACAGCTGCAGATTTCAGATCAAGTCAATCTTGAGCCAGTGAGACTCGAACTGCCAAACTGCTGGCAGTCGGCAGTCAGCACAATTAGCCTGCAAAACTGCATTCTAACAACTGCGTCACTACAGCTCATATGAGGGAGTGCTGTTCCAGAGGGCAGGAGAAGAAGACTAGTCTCCAGAGTCCCATAAGACAATGCTGTATGGAGCATGTTGACCCTGCAACATTTTATTAGAGGGACAGAAATAATCAAAGAGAAGCAATCCTGCAGATATTTAGACTCTAAGCTATGAAGAGTTTCATAGATGACAACCATCTTCCTAATTTGCACCCATAAGTAAAGGTGTCTCAGGGACTAAACAAGGGGTAACCCTTGCATTTGAGAACAGCTGTAGGTCTGAATGGTCTTCAAGGATACCCCCTCATAGTATGTCCTTGTGTATCAAAGTAGTCCAAATAATAGGCAACCTGAAAATTAATGATCATTTGAAGGGCCTCCTAATTGAGGTATGATTGGCATGCAAAATGATATGAATCTGCGTTAAAGTCATGTTATACTTAAAAAACACCTGCTGCTTGGCATTGTGTGGATGTGATACCACAAAAAATAATTAAGTTTTGCCAACCTTATCACTAAATTTAGGCCTTAATATGGGCTTGTGCACATTTTCATTGGGACTCTGTCTTATCTTAGCTATGATTCTGACGCTCCCTTCTGGAACCTACTCAACTGCCCTCCAATCTCCACAAATATAATCTCTCCCAATCTCTAAGGAGTCACACTAGGCTCTGAGAACCACTCATCCAGTTCACATCACCCTAATCAACCAGCCTGACCTTATAAAGAAGTGATGCATCTCATTTCTTATGAGTGAGTTGCCTGAAAGTCCAGAATGGTTTTGAATAACAGTTACTTGGGAATAATTAAGGTAAAGGGAGTTTTGTATTGGGAAATGGGCAGTTATTGCCAATCTTACAATCCTTGTGGAAATGAACACTATTTTTATTTCATTTTTGCTATATTTCTATATTCCTTCCTTCTTCCCCTCTTTCCCTCCCTCCCTCCCTCCCTCCCTCCCTCTTCTTTATTATGGTAAAGAAGCCAGTAACAGAAAGGGAAAATCAATTCTATTTTACTCCTAAAATTTAAGGACAGAATATATTTTCCACTGCACTAAAACTCAAGTGCGGTGTTGTCTTGCCATCAGCCGAGGGTTCTTGAGGTCACTACTTAATAGCATAGGTTGGCAAAGCTTTCTGTTTCCATCTGAAAGACAGCCAGAACAATGGTCTGATCCAGGAATCTCAATTATCTCACTGTACAATCTCCTTGTGGGGAGTGTGGCACAATAAAATTATGTCTGCCTGTCTGTCTGTCTGTCTGTCTGTCTGTCTGACTGACTGACTGACTGACTGACTGACTGACTATCATTGTTATTTTTCACCACATCTTTGTTGTACATGGTTTTTGGAAACCAATGGCTTTGTTTTTTTGTTTTTTGTTTTTTTTTTCATTGCCAAAATACATGTTGGCAAATCCTGATTACTATTAATGTTTCTACTATAGTAGCATCTCTTGTTGATTCTTGAAAAATCCACTCCTACAGAAATCCATGGATTTTTCTTCCCTTTCTTCCATATAATGTGTTGATCCATATTGACCCAGAAAATTGAAAAAAGTGCAGTATAAGCTGTAAAATCATAAAGTGATGGACTTCTAAAATTACTCGCAAGATTCCCAGTTTACATATTCATAAAAATTGTTTTTCAACCTGATTCAGCTGAGCAGAACGAAAGGCGGTTACTTGTAAATCTCTTTGGACTGCAGTGTGTTCCAATTTGTTGGATATCTTGGTTTAAACATGGAAAGATTAAATTATTCCTTCTTTTGAATTAACACTTTGTCAAAGATACCTATTTTCATATTCTATGCCCCAATATATGTAATAGAAATGTCAAGCTTCAGATTAAACAAGCAAACAAACAAAGAACCACTCACTTTCTTATCTCTTTTTCCTTTCATTTCACCACAGAAGACAAGATATGGACAGTGATGCAGCACAATAACACAGAATTGACTCATGTCCACGGATCTGATCCTAGGAAGCCATACACCATGAACTTCAGTTACAATAGCAGCGGGGATCAGCTGGAAGCAATAACAAATAACGCTGAATATTGTGAGCAGGAGACAATTTACCATTGCAAAAAGTCACGTCTGCTGAATTCCCCAAGTAAGTGCCATCAAGTGAAATCTTTCTGGTTTTTATTTTTGTTTTTATTGTTTTAGTCTCTGTAATACAGCAATATGCGTATTCTCAGATAAGGTTGAATAATTGAAATGAGAGTATAGCTAGTATTTATTTATTTATATTCTGCCTTTATTGTTTTTATAAATAATTCAAGGTGGTGAACCTACGTAATATTCCTTCCTTCCTCCTATTTTCTCCACTACAATAACCCTGTGGATGGGTGTTGGATTGAGGTAGAGTGACTGGCCCAAAGTCAATAATACAAAATGATAGGAAGTACAAAATAGTAGAAAACATTTTAAAAAGCAATGTCTTAATAGCAAATACTACTTTATGTTAGTGATACATAATAGTGTTATCTTTTAAAAGCAACTTCTATATGGTCAGCTTGTTCCATTTATTTAAGACAAATTAAGAGGATGTGAAAATCTTATAATTATATCAAATAATTATAAGATTAACCAAAATCTTATAATTATAAATAACAACTATTGATGTTACCATACATAAATCAAAACTGTTCTTATACAGGGCTAATACATCCATGTTGAAAAATCCAGGTGACACACTAAAAGGCAGCAAAGAGATACAGAAACACTAGTTCTTTTATGACTACTTATATTCTTCATTTAAGTAAATACAGTCTTCTCAATATTTGGAGTAGACAGAATTAAAGCTCTTTCTAAGTAATCAATAGGGCAGAATAGCTAATAATTATGGAGAGTAACAGAACTTCAATCATTAACGGAGGAGTACTCTGGTTATAAGCACTCTTCATACTTATAACTAATTAGCATGTAATTAGCATCTGGGAGAGCTCATAAAGAGATAAAGATTATTTTTTTTCAAAATGAAGCCAGACATGTTTATGAAAAATGCTTTATTATACATTTGCAATTTAATACTTGGCAGCTGAAATCAGGAACTCTTGTGATGGTTTTGACTGAAATATTAAGAATATCTCAGAAAGGGATTTGATATTAGTTTAACAAAATCAATCTTTTGTTCTTTATTTATTTTTATCTCGCATTCATTATTTTTATAAGTAACTCAAGAACATAGCTAATATTCCTCCTTCTTCTATTTTTTTTTCACAACAACAGCTCTGTAAAGTGGGTTGGGCTAAGAGAGAGTGAGTGAGTGGCCCAAAGTTATACAACCGGGTTTCATGCCTAAGGAGGGACTAGAACTCACAGTCTCCTGGTTTCAAGTCTGGTGCCTTAACTTCTAGACCAAACTGGCTGAATTTTTCTTAGATCAAATAGGGCTCTTCTTCCTTAATTGGCTAATTAATTTAGCTCTATATCTTAAAGAAGAAGGTGAATCTATGCTTTCCAGCTTAATCACAAGCTAAGGTGATTAAAAATAAAATAACAAACAAATAATGATTTGTCAAAAATGCTTTTATCTATACTTCAAATGATCATTTTCATGCCACTATCCCAAACAGTATTTATCAGTTGTCTATAGGTGTTGTTATATGTAGTGCTTTTTTTGTAAAAAAAAAAAAAAAAAGGTGCTGGAATTCATACATGTCATACAACCCGCCTTGCCTACCCTACAAGGTTCCATCCAAAAAAGGTGCCGGAACTCTGTTCTGGGCGTTCTATGACAAAAAAAGCCCTGGTTATATGAAACAATAGGGAACATAGCCTCCTGTCTTCTGAGAATATTTAATGGTTCTCAGATGGATCTTCTACAACAGGGGTGTCAAACTGCTGGCCCACGAGCCAGATGCATCATGCAGAAGCCACACCCACCCAGCTCCAGCAAGGGGAAAAAAGTTGCAATATGTCACGACATGTCACCTGTCACGGCAAGTTTGACATCCCTGTTCTACAATGTAATTATCACTTGACTAATTAAAATGTTCATTTTGAGAATGATTGCCTACAACCTATTCACGATGGTGCCTTGTTTCTTCCTCGCAAAGCTGACGCTTGTTTTTTTGCATATTTTTGTTTTAAAAGTCATTCTACATGGAAGGAATCAAGAAATGTGTAATGCAAATATATAATTGTCATCAAAGAAGAAATGTTAAATGGCTTGCAGTATGTTATTACTAGAAAATGCTTGAACTGGTATACATAAGTGGTTCTTCAGAAAATGGGAGTGATATTTTCAAAGTTCAAAGGGATGGTTTAATAGCTACCTCTCCAGCCTTTATTTATGCAATCAAAGTTCTATGTATCTTACGTTGGAGCAAGATGCTCAGATTGTTTAGGTTGAGGTACGCCATAAATAAGCTATTTTGGGAGAGGAACAAATGTGCCCAAAATTAAGACAGTTGGGGAATTCTGGAGGTTGAAATCCACAGATGTTAAAGTTCCCAAGATTTAGAAACATTGCTATAAAGTAATGGATCCTGTGATACTAATGCCTTCCACTGGTTATGTTCCTTGGTGCAAGTGCTATCTGCCTGTATGCCCATCCATTCATCATTTTTTTTATCACCTTATTGATTAAAATAGTAACTCAAGCTATTCTGTCTTCCTGAAAGATTTTAGGCTTGATTGCCAAAACCTCACGTGATTTGGTTTAAATCATGTAATTTTGTTTTAAAATATAAATATTTTTAATTGAGTTTGTAGGTTTTATAGGCCTGTTTTGAAGGAACCATGCACATTATGGTGCCTGCAAGGCACCATAAACGAAAAGGAACAGTGCCACTGAATGTGAACAGTCTGATAGAGAAGATGTTCTTCACAGGATATTTTAGAATACTTAAAATGCTAATGAAGATGCTAGTTTTATATTGTACTAGAACAGCCTTCTCCAAATTTGTGCTTTCCAATAGTCTAAGAATTTTAATCGTAGCATATACTGTACTGTAAGGAGAAACTCAGGTTGACCAAGTAGATGGAAGGAGATAGAGCAAATCTTTACAAGTAGAATAAGCTGGCAAGCAGACATACATAATTGGATCTGGCTACTGTCCAAAGACAATCTTTTACAGGCTGTCCAAGTCAAAAGATGCAACTAAAGTGCTTGCATAGACAGGCATTTTGTGACCTTGAAAGGACATCATAGGCCAAGGAACCTTGCAACTTGTAGCTCCCAGCTAGCTTCTCAGATGACACAGAAGAGCACAGATTTAACATTAAAGGATTCTAGCATTAGTGGCTGTTGATCCATAATAACTTTTACTGAAAAAGAAGATAGGTTAGTGCAGAAACAAGTTTTTGTATGGTGATTCTTGCAGCTTTCTCAGATTTATTGACATATTGAATATATAGTAAGAAAGGTGACCGTATGCAGGGATGTGCTGAAATCAGGTTGTATGTTTCGTAAGAGCCAATTGTTGATTTTTGGGGGGAATTTTGTGAATTGGCTGAGTAGAGCTGAGTGTTTGGCCACAATAAAGCCAGCAGAAGCAGTTGTTACACATTTATTTAGCACACATTTACACACGTTTTTAAAGTAAAGTGATTTAGAATCTTTGAGTTTGAAACCAAACAAGAGGAAAGATTAAGTTGGAGAGTATACAGTATATAGATGAAATTAGCTATTTAACTACAATGTTTGTTCAATTCTTGTTTAACCAAAAATAACACTGAATGTTGGATGGTTCTAATTGAATGTGAATATCTGTTTTAGTTCATTCTGAAAAACGTTGATGTTTAGGGACTCTAAACTTTAAGTACCAGTTCTTAAATAAATTTAGAGGCATCAACAGAAGGAATATTCTGTATTCTGTTTAAGAATACAGAACTAAGTGTCACATTTCTGCATATTATTGTAACCATTTTAATAAGCACTTCAAAAAATACATTTCAGACATGGATAACATTTCATACTACAGCATCACAGATACAAGATTCACAGCAAAAAGTATATTGTTATAAAATATTTAATAGGGCCTGATAGGTAATTTATACTTGAAATTTAAATAAAGAAAGCATTCTTGGTTCTAGAATTAAAAGATCAACCCTGATGTGCAGAATTCAGCTCTGTTTTTTGACAAATTGCTCATGAAATGTAATCAATTCTGTTGAGTTAAAGTGGTCAAATCTGTTCAAAACTGCTGTGGAAAAATATTGTTATCTTTCATTGCTCAAATAATTGCTGGTTAAGTGCTCATACTAATCATTTTAGTACCATTTGTGGCTTAATTCTTTTGTTGACATGGTGATGTCTTGGCATATACACACATAGATATACAGTATATATACATATATATGCAGTGGTGGGATTCAAATATGTGAACAACCGGTTCTGTGTGTGGATGCCGCTTTTGGAAGTTCATTCTGGGCCTGGGCAACAAAAAATTAGGTACTGGTTCTGCCGAACTGGTTCGAACTGGCTGAATTCCACCACTGTGTATATGTATACACAAACACATATATATGGGTACATACAAATACTACCTCTTTAAAAGGCCCTTTTATCTTCCATTTTTAAAATCTTATTTTAAAAGTTTGAGAGATTGAGGAAAAAGGCATTTAATGCATATTAAATGTGGTACAGTGCTTTTTGGCAAAAAATAATTTACTTTTATGACTTCTATGAATTATATAAAAACATAATGGAAAAATACTGGATTTTTTTTTTCAAATTGATTTTGGATATTGTGACTGAATTCTCCCAGAGATCCAAAAAGTCTTTAGTAGTCTGAAGTAAGAGAGGCTTTGAAATAAAATCCCTTAGAGATTTGTATTAATATATAAAATTTAGGCGAGACTCAATCAGATTAACTTGCAAGTTAAGGATCACATGTTTCATGAAGAAGATCTCACAATGGTTTTGTCCACAGTAGGAGGTATTTCTCTTTTTATTTTTTTTTTATTTAGCTTGTATTAACTAATGAGGCAATTTTATGGGTGGCAATTTACTGATGGGAAAGTAAATGTGATAAAAGTTCCTGGACTGTATAATATTTCTTCTCCACTCTTCCATTTTCTAATACTAAGTTTAATATTCATCTGGCAAGTTTTACTTACTGGCTGTCAACCCTATCAGGTAGACTAGGTCAAGAAACATGT